ACACACACACACACACACACACACACACACACACACACACACACACACACACACACACACACTTGTTTTTATATCCTTGTAGGGCCCGTCCATTGACTTCCATTCATTTTTTGGTAATTTTATATCCTAACCCTGACCACAAACCCTAAGGCTAACCTTACAGGTACCTAATTGACCCTAAAACTAACCTAAACTCAATTCACACCTTGGTCCTAAACCCAACCTCCACACCCAAAATCAGCCTCTGAAGTTGTGCCCAAAGCCTGGGCCCCACAACTTGATCCTTCTATTTAATTGCTTAGCTATGTCCAACTTTTGTAAATACCGCTGTCTGTCAGACCCAACTAGGTCTGTTACTTCCACAGACAAATTAGCTCGATTTCAACAAGAAGAAGTCATGGTAAAAACAAAACAAAACAAAAAAACAACTTAGAAAACAATCACAGTAACTGTTCAATACTCCTCCTCCTTTCTGATGTTTGTCATGGCGTTCCCACGTGATTAGGTGACATAGTTGCAAAGGGTCAATAGTGCTTTATCAAGTCCCTATGTACTCCAAAGCATTTCCCACTACAGTCAAGCCACATTGTAGCAACAGCTGCCCAACAGGCAGACTTGATAGAAGAAAGGCTGCCATGGACCTCTGACCTCTTGCCTGCTGGTGGTGGCACCAGCAGGTGAGGAGTTTTGCCCAAGGACACAATGACTGAGATGGATGGAATGGGGAATAAACCCAACAACCCACCAGAAACAGCAATGTTGTATGGTTTGGAGACAGTAGTACTGGCAAAAAGACAGGAGACAGAACTGGAGGTGTCAGAGCTGAAGAATCTGAGGTTCCCCTTGGGAATGAATTTGTCAAAGATACAGCACAGGTTGAACGATGACGATAAAGTTATAGAGATAAATTATGAAAGAGGCCAGACTGAAATGGTTTGGACATGTCCAGAGGATGGACAGTGGATCTATTGGTAGAAGGATGTTAGAGATGCAGCTGCCAGGAAAAAAGGAAAACAAAAAGGGCATACAGTGGGGTGCGAAAGTTTGGGTAGCCTTGTTAATTTTCCTGACTTACCTTTATAAATCATTGGTTGTTTCGATAAAAAAAATCAGTAAAATATATCATATTAGGCAGAGATTCTTAACCTATGGTCTGTGGCCCAATTGTGGGCCGTGAGCGCCACCTTGAGGGCCTCAAAGGAACAACAGTTTTTAACTTTGGGCCACAGAGGGCCGTAAGGTGCAATACACTTTCTCACCACTAGTAGAGTGCGCCACTCACATGTTTAACAACTTTTTTAGTAAGTAGAAGAAGAGCCTTAGAAACCTGCTGAGAATAGAAACTTATTTTAAATGAAAAGTAGAAGCAAAAATGAAAGTAACTCGTCAAAAAAGGCCAAAGTTTATCACTAATGTGAAGTGCAGCTTCTGTTTTGACAATGCAATATTTCAAAAGTTCAAAACATTATCAAATACAGTTGCAGATATACTGCTATATTTTAATTTGCACTTTATCAAATTAATTTTTGTATTTATTTTTTAAATATTTTTAATGTATTTTAAAGAAATTTTAAACTTGGCAAAAAGCTGTTGTTACTGTTATTGTTTGTCACTAATATGAACAGCAGCATCTGTTTCTACCATGCAAATGTTTAAAAAGGCTATATTTTCATTTGTACTTTATCAAACTTATTTTCATAGTTTTTTATACTTGAAACATTTAAACTTTTTTAATTTATGCCCACAATTTTATTTTTGAATTGTCTATTTGTGTTGATAAGCCTGAGTGGTCTGTTGACTGACCTTTGTATTTGTTCAAATAATTGTTACGGGCAGGTTACAATAAAAAAATGTTTGTCATAATCATGTCTTGTGATTATTTGACAGGAGTTTTACTTTTAAAATGTGTTTTTAATTTAGTTATGATGTAAATACAATAAAAATTAAACCAAGATTTAGAATAGAATAATTATCATTTTGATCCATACATTGGTAATATCTGACTGGGCCTCGTGTCACTTTATGTTCAATAAATTGGGCCCTGAGGTCAAAAAGGTTAAGAACCCCTGATATAAGGGACAAACTCAGTGATATTTGAGAAGTGAAATGAATTTGATATGATTTACAGAAAGTGTGTAATAATTAGTTAAACAAAATTAGACAGGTGCATAAATTTGGGCACCCAAGAAAAAACTTAACTCAATATTTACTTGGTGAATCTTCCTTTCGCAGAAATAACAGCCTCTAAACTCTTCCTATAGCTTCTAATGAGAGACTGGATTGTGCCTGAAGGTATTTTTAGACCATTCTTCTTCACAAAACATCTCTAGTTCATTCAGGTTTGGTGGTTTCCAACCACAGACAGTTCTCTTTAAGTGACACCACAAATTTTCAATAATATTCAGGTCTGGGGACTGAGATGGGCATTCCAGAAAGTTGTACTTGTTCCTCTGCATGAATGCTTTAGTTTATTTTGAGCAGAGTTTAGGGTGGTTGTCTTGTTGGAAGATCCAGCCCTGGCTTCAGCAGCTTCARCTTTGTCACTGATTCCTGGACATTGGTCTCCAGAATCTGCTGATATTGATTGGAATCTATYAGTCCCTCAACTTTAACAAGATTCCCAGTCCCTGTACTGGCCACACAGCCCCACAGCATGATGGAACCACCACCAAATGTTACTGTAGGTAGCAGGTGTTTTTCTTGGAGTGCTGTGTTCTTTTTCCTTCATGCATAATGGCCCTTGTTCTGCCCAAATAACTCTATTTTAGTTTCATCAGTCCACAGCACCTTATTCCAAAATGGAGCTGGCTTGTCCAAATGTGCTTTAGCATACCTCAAGCAGCTCTGTTTGTGATGTGGGCGGAGAAAAGGCTTCCTCTGCATCACTCTCCCATACAGCATCTCTTTGTGTAAAGTGTGCTGAATACATTGGTACTGGTACACTGCTTCCCTTATTTTAGTCTGTATTGTACTGATGCTGCTGGAAACGTAATTTCCCTGAGGGAACCCTCCCAAAAGGGATCAATAAAGTTTAATCTAATCTAATCTAATCTAATCTAATCTAATCTAATCTAATCTGATAGCTGAACGATGCACAGTGACTCCATCAGCAGCAAGATGATGCTGTAGGTCTTTGGTGCTGGTCTGTGGGTTGACTCTGACTCTTCTCAACATCCTTCACTTCTGTTTATTGGAGATTTTTCTTGGTCTGCCACTTCGAGCCTTGACTTGAACTGTGCCTGTGGTCATCCATTTTCTCACAATGTTTCTCAGAGTGGAGACTGAAAGCTGAAATCTGAGATAGCTTTCTGTATCCTTCCCCTAAACCAGGGGTCTGCAACCTTTACGATCAAAAGAGCCATTTATGCTAGTTGATGCACTAATTAAATGTGTCCAGAGCCGTAAAGCAAGCTACAACTACAATTATCAACTGGTTGTCCGTGGGCCTTTTCGAGAACCTTTATGGCCAGTGGAGGTGACATTATAAACAAAAAAATTTATTGTGAATTTTATTATTTATTGTTATTTTTACACTTCAGGACAAATGAAAAGATCACATTCATGTAAACAAGAAAAATACTGCATACCATTTATACCGAATTTCATAAAAACAAATACAACTGAACTATTCAGGCACTTTTTTTCTAATTCTTCTTMTTATGTTTTCTTCAAATTCTTTAAAGGTAATTCTGATGGATTTGAGAGAAAGATCATAGAAAGAAGTTGGATTATTTAAGTACACAACAAGCTAGCATTAGCTAATCATGTTTTACATTTTGTATTTGTAGTACTGATCACATATTTGCATACAAATGGATTTTTGTTGTGGGTATAAACAAAAACAATCGTTATGTTTGGCCACAGTTTCAAAGAGCCACTGTGGAGGGACCAAAGAGCCACATGTGGCCCCAGAGCCTCAGGTTGCAGACCCATGCCCTAAACCATAATGGTGAACAATCTTTGTTTTCAGCTCATTTGAAATTTGTTTTGAGACTTCCATGCTGCAACTCTTCACAGAAGATGCAAAGAGGAGAAAAACTTACAATTGCCCCCCTTTAGGAGGTATTTTAAAATGTTACAGTAATGTGTCCTACCATCTGTATGCTGATGACATACAGTTGTATTGTTCCTTTCGACTCTCTGAGTTCTTCAAACGTTCTGAACTCGGTAACTGTCTGTCAGAAGTCAAAATATGGCTGAACAACAACTACCTGCAGTTAAATGCAAACAAGACTGAAACTCTTATTATCGCCCC